GGGAATCCTGAGCAGGAGCCTGAATATCAACATCAACGTCCATCTGATCCTTCCCTCCACCCTTGGCCTTTGGGGCACTATCTTTGAACAGGTCACGGCTGACAGAACCCATTCCCTCCCACTCAGAGGTCATGAAGCGCGGCAACGAACCCCCACTCATATTGCCAGCATTGCCATCCTCGGCCCCAAGGTTGTTGGAAGACGGAGGAGGAGGTGGGGGAGGGGATTGGGTAGTGGCAGCGCCTTCCACCCGAACCCGGAGTCTAAAGCCATCCGCAGCAGGGAAATCATCGACACTGCCGTGGATGCAGAGGGGATCCACAGCCCAAATCTTGAGGCGAACAGGTCCAAGAACAGAGAGGGAGTCTTGGTCAACCAAGATCGGTTTGCTAATGAGAGCACCGAAGGCCATGACGAACTCTGAAGAGCGAAGAGTGGGAGGGACATCATCCACAAGGACCCAGATCTCAGAGAGGGGAGGAATAGGTTTAGCGCCATTCGTGGCCGCCTTCACCGAGACTACCAACTGATTAAGAGGGAGGGTGAAATTGGTGCAAGATGAGATCATTTTGAGGCTTCTCTTAGAGGGGAAGACCACCGCAAAGTCAAAATTAGACAACTGTCGGATCTGCCAATCCCAGCCACCATCGTCCCACAGCTTGAGCTCGTCCAAGAGGGTTTGGGTGGAGATTTTATGGTCTTTGATCGAGATGATCGCGGCATTGGAGAGCGCAGGGGCCACAGCCACCGGAGGAATGTCACCGTCAAGCGCGAGGAAGGAGCAACCAGGAAGGCCTTGGCCAAATAACTTAAAAGGAAGCAGATTTGCGACGATCCTGGCAGTTCACAGTCAAGTGGCCGTCCTCTCTACAGATCAGGCAGAACGGGGGGTTGCAACAACGAGATTGGAAGTGGCCAGGTTGCTGGCAAGCGAAGCACGTGAGATTAGGGTTTGGAGGTTGGAGAGCCGGAGGAGAAGGACGGGCAGGTGGAGGAGGTAGAGGAGGAAGAATCCCGTCGCCCAAGGCGCTAGCGGACGAGCCAGGACCGGACGCCGGGGGCCGACGGCCGAGGGCGCAAGAGCCACCGCCCCCGCTACCCAGCGAGCGCCCCCCGAACCCAGAAGACTGGCCGGGGCCGCGCCCGCCGCCACGAGCCAGGGGCGCGGGGACAAGCGAGGGAGGAGGAGGGGGACGAGCCACGGGACCAGCGCCAGCAGCAGCCACCGCGGCCTCCCAAGGATCGGCCCCAGATCCCCCCGATCCTGGGGCCTCAGATCCCGAGCCCGCCGCAGCCGACGCCGCCGCCAAAGCACGCTCGCCGCCCTGGATCCGCTCGGACCTCGCCGCCCAGACCTCGCGCTCGCGGGCCGCTTGCAGCCGAGCCGCCTGCTCGGCTTCAAGCTTGGAGCGAAGGGACGCCTCGAGCTCCAGGCCGTCCGCCCCGTCGCCCGCATCCTCCTGCCGCCGCTTCATGCCCGACACCGCCTCGCTCGAAGAACCACGGGAGCGATCCATGGCTACCACCGCCGCGAAAGGAAGAGAGAGGGGTAGGGGGGAGGAGCTCTGCGGTAGGTGGGGATGCGAAAACGGAAATGGCGCAGGTCAGAATGAGAAGCAGGAAACCCTAGAAATGGGGGGGCCGAACCCTTTCGGACCCATAAGTACCCGGAGCTAGCCAGACCAAGAGGGGGGGAAAGACGGGACGGGCCGGTCGAAGCAGAGGAAAACACAGTAGGCGCGCGAGGCCCAGGGCCCAAAATGGAGAGGGGCGGAAAATCAGAAAAGGACGACAACTCGGGCGGCCCAGCCTGAACCGAGGACCCAGATAGGCCAGCCTGAAACGGAACGGGAGGCCCACAAGCCGAACTCGCAGGAAATGGATCTGGGGAGAGAGGCGGAGGGAAGGCCCCGCCGGCGCCGCCCACGCCGCCGGCGCCGCCGAAACCACCAACGGCGAAGCCGCCGGAGAGCAAGGAGAGCAAGCAGGGCCCGCCGCCCGAGAGGAGGGAGCAACGAGATCCGCACAGCCCGGCGAGGAGAGCGGCCCCGAGCGCTTCCGTCGCCGACCGCGCCTCACCTGGAGCCAACCCGAACCATCCCCATCAACGACGACCACCGGACGGCCACGACCGCCCGGGGCAAATTTCCGCACCTTGCCCGCCACCGGCGACTCAGCCGCCCGCGGAGCCACCAGAGAAGGAACCAGAGGGGGAAGGGGAGAGCCGACCTCCAGATCGGAGTCCCCATCCACCTCATCAGACGACAGGGCCCAAAAGCGGTTCCGAGCGCCAGATCCAGATGCGCGCGAGCTGAGAGGAGGACCAGGGGGCGAGAGAGCAGCAGTGGCGAGGGGGAGAGTCGGAGACGACAGAGGGAGGGGAGCAGGGGTGGCCGGGGAAGGAGGCCGGAGCGGAGGCGAGGAGAGAGAGGAAGGGGAGCGAGGAGAGGAGAAAGGGGGAGGAGCCATCGAGAGGTGTCGTTTCTTAGAACCCGGAATGACAAACCTAATGAAGATTCTTCCGGAGTATAGCTCTCTTTGACTGTTCGGTCTTCGAACTTCCTTTTTCTGCTGTCTCCTAAATATTCATGTCTCAGTTCTATTTCTTGGTAGGCGCTTCGGTTGTGCCTATCCTCGCACTGAACCGGGCCATCGACGGAGCAGTCAAAGGAAGCAACGCTGCATTAGCAAAAACAAGAAAACAAGGCACTCTGACAGTGTGCGTGCATGATCCAGTAGCATGTGTTTAATAGTAGCGTAAACCACCCAAAGTACACATCAACCGCTGCCGGCTGCTCTGCATACAGGTGCGAAAACAAACTTGATCCTTCGCTGAAAACAATAGTACTAAGCACTAACTCAATTACCCATATGCGTGCGAGGCGTAATAGTTGCTCAAAATTATTTTGAACTCAAAAATCTGCAGCTCAAACTTCCAAATCGCCCATTTCACTGAAATTAATTCAAGGTTTGTCATTGTATATCTATTACTAACATGTCTTATCTTCCTCTCATGGGCGCCTCATGGGTTTCAGATGGAGCTAGTGCATGCCACATCCATCGCATTCCAGTCAACTGTCCATAATCAAGTTGCACTAGGGCATGTGTTCTTGCATAATGATAGGAGTTAGGGGTACATAGTATATATGCACACTTGATGCGGGAGTTGACTTCATATAAAAGCCCAACTTCCGACGGGTGCATTTCGTTAATATTCTTTCTCCATGATTGAGCGTTGCCCTCAATTTGCTCGCCATAGAACATGGAAGGACCAAGTAAGTCCCTTTTTGAAATGAAGTAAACTCATCCGTCGTGTGTATGTGCCATCCATTCATCATTTTTGTATGTCAACTTGGCTATCGGGCATATGTACATGTCGACCACGACAACCAGATCGTAAATTTGAGATCACGATAGTGTTGAAGATAGATGCAGAGTTTCATACAGTTGTCTAGCAAAACTGACCAGAAAAAAAAAGGTAGGAAGCCTTTTCCCCCCTAAACGGCCTCTCAGGACCGAATTCCACTATTATTACTAGTATTAGAGAAAAGTATATTTTCATGCCTCAAGTTTATCGAAAGTCTACATAGTGTCTCAAGAATTTTTGGGCGAAATTTGGTCCTTCAAGTCTCAAAACCAGGTAAGTTTCATGACCTATTTCTAGTAAAACTGGCCGTGTGAAAGCGGTTTTCTCTCACCTCCATCCACGTCGTCCAGGCCACGATGAGGCCACTCCCGCCTGTCGTCGCCACGGGGATCTTCGATGTCTCTAACACCTCACGACCCACAGGAATGTTGCACCTCTATTGAAAAGGCCCTCGACCACCTCTGTTTGGTCCTTCAAGTCTCAAAACCAGGTAAATTTCGTGACTCATATTTTAGTAAAACTGGCCATGTGAAAGCGGTTTTCTCTCTCTGTATTGCTGACGGTGCTACAACTCAAAGGAAGGGGCAAGGCACAACCCTATCTGCGCTCCTTGGCGCCAACCAGCACGGTCACCAGTGTAGACAGACCTGAGGCCTACCAACATTGGCTAACCGTCGCGCGCGGCGGATCCGCCATTGGCGGTAGGAGCGCAACTAGCGTCGGTGGAGACTAGTGAAGGTGTGGCCAACAACGACCTGGCCTTCGACGGGTGCAGGTGACCCCTGAGTTGTTCGCTGGAGTAGGAATGTCACATAGGGAAGGGACAGGAGGGGCGGTGCGGGCAGGGTATGGTGCGGGTATGCGGCATGGCATGGGTGCCTGGTGACAGGCTGCCGAGGGTGGGGCGGGGTGGATGGTGTGGCGGCGCATGGTCGGCGACACAGATGGATAGTTAGGCGGGGTTAGGGTTGTAGCGATGGCGCAGGTAGGCAGCTGGTTTTCCTCGGCGGTAGGCCCATGTAGATAGCGCGGTTGGAGAGAGAAACGGGAGGGGAGGGGGACACATGGCTAGTTTTTCTCCCTAATCTAATTGTGTCCAGTTTTGACACTGGACGGACCAAATGACGACCAGTAAAAGTTGAGGGACCGGGTGTAGACTTTCAGTAAACATGAGGGACGAAAAATATAGCTTTCTCTTACTATCAATGGAATAAGCATATAATCTTGAAGAATCGCATATAAAACGAACATTTGTATTTAAATGACCAAAAAAATAACAAAGATACCCGTACAGGCCACCCCATGTTACTTTCTTTCATTTGATCCACAAAATGGGCTGGAACTCCATGTTACTTGGAACCGAATAACCGGATCTGGTGGTTTGTTTTAAGTATATATACATATACTCTATCCCCTCCATTCTTCTTTAACCTCTCTTGAGCTCTCCTTCCTGGACCAAACCATTTTGCTGTGGTTCTGTGTTTATAGCTTTGTAGGGTCAGGTTCACCTAGCTCAGTCACAGGTATGTATCATATATTTGCGCGCATACTCTTATGTGAAGCTATGTATATATTGAGAGATGTGTATATGAAGATATAGTTAAAATTCATGCTTGCAGAGGGTGGTGTATCAATGGATGGAGCTGGAGCACTGATGCCATCTTGGCTGGAACTGTGGAATGAGTGGGAGATCCAAGTTGTTGTTGTTGCCAGCTTCAGTCTGCAGGTTATCCTCTTCTTCTTCGCAGGGATCCGCCGCTACACCGTCTCGTCTATTCTCAAGGCCCTCCTCTGGCTGGTGTATCTGCTTGCCGATGTCGTTGCGACGTATGCCCTGGGGCACATTTCCTCGTCCTTGTCGAAGAAATCGTCTGTCGAGCACCAGCTGGTGGCGTTCTGGGCGCCGTTCCTCCTGCTGCACCTTGGTGGCCAGGACACCATCACCACGTACGCCCTGGAGGACAATAAACTGTGGCTGCGGCACCTGCTGAACATGTTTGTGCAAGTCGCCGGCACCGGATATGTGCTCTATAAGTACATCAATGCAGGCGGGGCGACCCTTGTCCCTGCCGCTATGTTGGTTCTGGCCGCCGGAGTTTTCAAGTTCGGCGAGAGGATATGGGCACTGAAGCGCGCAAGCAAGAAGGGTTCCAAAGGGCCAAGTAGGTCTTTTCTGCAGATTATCTGTTGTATTTGTATTGATTTTCATCCGGAGCCGGAGGGTAGGGCCACTGAATCAGTTCTGGACTGGAAATACAATGCAATGGACTGCTTCACTAAAAATAAACAGTTTGGAATTTATACATTTATTGTGATGACAGCACACGCGTTGCGCCATTTGCTTGTCAAGCCTTTAATCATAGACAGGAATGAGGCGTCCATAGACAGGAGTGATACCACAATTGCACTACTAAATGGTCGAGTGCAAGACTATCTATTGGAAGACGACGAGAAGGAAGATGCATCAACGGAGCATAAGAGGCACATTGGAGAGCTCTACAAGACAATCGAGGTGGAGCTCGCCCTGATGTATGACATGTTGTACACCAAGGCAGAAGTGATTCACACACGGTATGGCTACTGCATCCGTGCTATTTCCCTTGTGTCTTGCTTTTCCGCTCTTGTGGTCTTCATGAAAATCAAGAGGGATGGCTACAGCACACCCAACATTGTTATCACTTTTGCTCTTCTGTGGGGAGCTTGCGCACTGGAGATTGCATCAGTTGTCAAGGTGATTGGTTCGACCTGGACATATGCCATCTTGAAGGGCGCCTGGGGATGGAAGTGGCTGGCCAATGCAATTCTGTTCGCACGTTACCACCTCGTCATTGTCAAGGATGGAAGATGGTCCAATTCTGTCGGGCAGTTCAACTTCATATCCTTCTGTGTTCGCAGCAAGAGTTCCGACTTCATGGGATCAACAGCTGATTTGTTTGGGCTCAAGAACTTGTGGTACAAAGCTCAGTGCACCAAACATACCAAGCTTTCACCTTCCGTGAAGGAGTTCGTATGGCACTTGGTCAGAGGTGAGAAGAGTCATATGGTAAAGATTGAAGATGTGGCCATCAGAAGTGGTTACTGGGCTCGCAGGTTCAGGGGCTTCCACCAAAGCGAGCAGCTCGATTGGAGCATGAGTTTTGAATTTCTGAAGAGCGTGCTTATCTGGCCCATAGCCACATCCACCTTCCTCAATGGCCCTGCCATCAAATCCCAGCTGGTCGGCAAGGATAAGGACATGGCTGAAGCAGTGAATACTCTCTCTGATTACATGATGTACCTCCTCGTCAAGCACCCCGACATTCTGCCCATCAGAGCAGCTGATTATAGTCTGTTTGAGAAAGCATGTGCCTCTTTTCACCCTGATGAGTGTAAGTCTCACCAGACAATTCTGGATTACAATAAGAGCATTTGTGATAGGGACATACAAATACTATATGGTACTGGCGACTTGACGCAAGCTGGTTGGGATGCTCACCCGGGCGAAGCTGTGCTGGTGAAAGCATGCACCCTTGCGCACACAATGCTTGACATGAAGTTGGGGCTCACACATAAGATGGTAATAATTGGAAGAGTGTGGACAGACATGTTGTGCGACACAGCAATCAATGCATCTGGGGAATTCCATGCCAGGCAGCTGAGCAATGGTGGCGAGTTTCTGACCCACATCCTACTTCTCACTGAATATTCTCGTGCTATAACCAAAGGATCAAATCTGTACCGGGAGGACTTGAGAGCAGCTGATGAAAGTGTGGATGGTAGTGCTGGCCACGTGGAGCTGAATGTGGATGATGGCAACGGCGACGAGATCACCGAAATCCGCTGACAGATAGAGCATGTCAACAATTTGCAAAGCTGTTCTCCTATGCAAGTTTTTTATATGTATTTCCATTTTCGTGCTTTATTGCGTTGAATTTGTGACTCTGCCATTTCGATTTCAGTCTTATTGTGGCCGGTGAAGTATGTAATCTCAGGTTTTGCCAATTTGTAAGTCCACTGAAATCATTAGTATAATAGTGATTCATATTTCACTAGCTGTTTCATGTGTAAAATACAAAAGTAAAGCTATAAATGCTTATTGCTTTCATACTGCATTCGTGTAGAAATGTTTACTGGTTCTTTCATGATGTCATCATTTGTTGGATGTTTCATTATCTGATTTTTCACTGGAACTTCTCAAGACTGATAAACACACTGCATCTTTTGAAATCTTCACTGGAACTTCTCAAGAATGGATGTACTGGTGAGGGTTGGCCGTCTCCTGTGTGGTGACAAGGAGACGGCTGACCACCTTCTTCTTTTCCTTCCTGCTGTTTGTATGCCTTATTGCTGTTGTTTGGAGCTGCGGCCCCACCTCGGCTGACACGCTCGTTGATGTTTGTCTTTCCACGCCGTGGGAACCCAGCTGCTAACCATCGTCGGTGGTCTGTAAGTGCACGAGCGCTGTGGATAACACCACACTGATCTGCTGTTTTAACGGTGAGGTGTGTTCTTCTCCTGGCCTCCAAGCATTTGTGGCTGCTGATCGGCTCCCAGCTGTTGGTGTTGGATGATTTTGCTTTCTTTCTTTTTCTAAGGACATCCCCTCCTTTGCTTTTTCTGTTCTTTAATGTTTTACCTACTCCATCCGCCCCCAGGTACTCTCTGTCTAGTAAAGATTATAGAGACGGGCAGGGTTCTGAGTAACTGAAACTCGGACATCTATACAGAAGTGGAGCACATGCACAAGGGTCTTTTTTAAGGATCTGTTAGAATAATATCGAGTTTCTTATTCTTCATATGTTCTAGTTGTGCGTTGGCGGAAACGTCTTACCCTTCGTGGGGGACGTGTTGCGTGTTTATAAAGAGGGTTGCGAAGCCTGATCACGCGTACAGAGTTTGTTGGAGATACAACTTGAAGAGAAAGAAAGACAAGAGATAAAGGAGCTAGGTACAACCGAATACAAAGATAACCATGCGCCTAGCTATCCTATCTATCTCCTAACTATAACTGAATATCTCCTCCTGACGCGTTGTATCATGTTTAACACCCTCCCTTAATCACAACTTGGTCAAGTTGAGATTATGTTTGAAGTCCTCAAAGCTTCTCACAGGCAATGCCTTTGTAAATCCATCTGCAACTTGATCTCTGGAGTGCACAAAACAAATATCAAGTTGCTTCTGAGCAACTCTTTCTCTGACAAAATGAAAATCAATTTCTATATGTTTTGTTCTAGCATGGAAAACTGGATTAGCAAAGAGATAGGTAGCACCAAGGTTGTCACACCATAACCATGGAGCCCGTGAGGTTTTCACACCAAGTTCTTTCAACATAGACTGAATCCATATTATCTCTGCTGTAGCATTTGCCAATGCTTTGTACTCTGCCTCTGTGCTTGACCTGGAAACCGTGGCCTGTTTTCGTGCACACCAAGATATCAGGTTAGGTCCAAAGAACACAGCAAACCCACCAGTGGATCGCCTATCATCCAAGCATCCTGCCCAATCTGAATCAGAAAATGCACTGACAAGAGTTGAAGATGACTTGCTGAAATTTAGACCAACACTCAAAGTGTTTTTGACATATCTGACTATGCGTTTTGCAGCAGTCAAGTGAACAGTGGTGGGTGCATGAAGAAACTGACAGACCTTATTAACTGCAAAAGAAATGTCAGGCCTAGTAAGAGTCAGATACTGCAAAGCCCCAACTAAACTTCTGTATCTTGTGCTATCCTCTTGACTCAAGAGTGTCCCTTCTGTGAGATAAAATTTTTCTGAACTGGAAAGTGGAGTAGGTGAGGATTTACAATCTTTCAAACCAGCCTTCTTTACCAGATCGGTTGCATATTTTTCCTGAGAGAGGTGAAGTCCATCTCTATTTCTTTTTACCTCAATCCCAAGAAAGAAGTGCAAGTCTCCAAGATCCTTCAAGGCAAAATCTGCACTCAAGTCCTTTAAGAGTCCTGTGATTGCTTCATCAGATGAGCTAGTCACAATAATGTCATCAACATATATGAGAACAAATATGCATGTGTTGGACTTGTTGTAGATGAATAATAAGGTGTCTGACTTAGAAGGAACAAAACCAAGTGCCTGCATCTTATGACAGAGACGAGAATACCATGCCCTTGGAGCTTGCTTCAACCCATATAGTGCTTTATCAAGTTTACACACGTAAGAGGGAGCACTTTTACTTACAAACCCAGGAGGTTGCTTCATGTACACTTCCTCTTCCAGAACACCGTGGAGGAACGCGTTCTGTACATCTAGCTGTCTGAGACTCCAACCCCTAGAAACAGCAATAGACAGGACAAGACGAATGGTAGCAGCTTTTACTACTGGACTAAACGTGTCCTCATAGTCTATGTCATATCTTTGTTTAAAGCCCTTTGCAACAAGTCTAGCTTTATAACGATCAATAGTTCCATCAGATTTCCTTTTAATCCTGAATACCCACTTGCAATCAATCAAGTTTTTACCTTGTTGTGGAGGAACCAAGTGCCATGTTTTATTTTTCTTCAATGCAATGTACTCTTCGTTCATAGCTTTCTTCCATCGTTCATCACCAAGTGCTTCTTCAACTGTACTTGGTTCATCTGGTTCACCTGTGGAACAAATCATACCATATTTGACTATATGTTGGTAGTTCACAGGTTTCGTTACCCCTTTTTGTAGTCGTGTACGACGCGGTGATGATGCAGCCAAATCTGTGGCCACAGAGGATCCGACTGCTTGCATGGAAGCTCCAGCCGGAACTGATCCCGAGACAGATACTTTCGGTGCAGCAGCGCAAGTTTCCTAACTCCGCTCCGATCCTGAGGAGATCCTGTCGCCAGTTTCCTGCTGCGGCACCGATCCCGAGGAGATTCTGTCTCCTGTTTCTTGACACATGAAAATAAGGGCCAGGATTTTCACCGTTTGCATTATTTTCTTCACCGCTCGTCCCTGTCTTAGTGCCTGTTGCATCAATATGAGCCTCATGCAGTATATTAGTGGGATTAGTCAACAAGTGATCATCAATATCGTTCCCCCCATGATCAAGGCCGGTGAGGTTTGAGGGCAAAAGAAGAATTTCTTTGCGAAGAAGCGCATCGGCGTTAGGATGAAGATCAGCGAAAGGAAACTGGGTTTCATCAAAAACGACATCCCTAGATATGTAGACACGGCCCGTGGAGACATGTAGACATTTGACACCCTTGTGTTGGGCACTATAGCCAAGGAAGACACATTTGGTGGAACGAAACATGAGTTTTCGTTTGTTGTAGGGACGTAAGTTGGGCCAACACGCGCACCCAAAAACACGAAGAGAGCTATAGTTCGGTTTTTCATGAAGAAGCCTCTCTAGTGGGGTTTCATTGTGGATAACACGACTAGGAAGCATGTTTATAAGATGAACGGCTGTGAGAAAAGCTTCATCCCAGAATTTTAAAGGCATAGATGCTCCTGCGAGGAGGGCAAGGCCAACTTCAACGATGTGGCGATGCTTGCGTTCGGCAGAGCCGTTTTGCTGGTGCGCATGGGGGCATGACACGTGGTGTGAGATGCCAAGAGTTTGGAAGAAGGAATTCAATTTCTCATATTCCCCTCCCTAGTCTGACTGGACTGCAATGATTTTGCTGTCAAACTTGCGCTCAACAAGAGCTTGAAAGTTTTAAAAAACTTGAAACACTTCGGATCTATGCTTAAGAAGATAAATCCACGAGAATTTGCTATAGTCATCAATGAAACTAACGTAATAAGAGTGTCTACCAACAGAGGTGGGAGCTGGACCCCACACATTAGAAAATATAAGTTGCAACGGTTTGGTGGAGACACTAGTAGATATGGGATATGGCAATTGATGACTTTTTGCTCTTTGGCATGAATCACAAATAGTTTCATTATGTCGCTCAACCACAAACGGGAGCTTATTTTTCCTAAGCAATTTTTCAACTAGAGAGAAAGAAGCATGGCCTAATCTATCATGCCACCGTGTTGATGAGAGCTTGGTAGCACCATAGACTTGTTTGTTGAATCTTCTACGCACCGGGATCAACGGATAAAGCCCTCGAACACATCTACCTCGATAGAGGATTTTCTTCGTTTCCTGATCCTTGATCAAAAAGAAGTAAGGGTGAAACTCGAGGAAGACATGATTATCTAAGGCAATTCGGTGAACAGAAAGAAGACTTTTGGTGGCACTAGGAACATGCAAGATTTTTTTAGATGAATATTGCGACTAGGGGTACTGAATATTGAATGACCAATGTGATTTATCCTCATACCTTCTCCACTGGCCGTGTGGATTTGATCCTTTCCACGGTACCTTTCCTTCATGGTCACCTTCTCAAGTTCGTTGGTGATGTGGTTGGTGGCGCCGCTATCGACATACCAGTTGGTGTCGATGCCGTAGGAGCCATCGGCCGCAGCAGCGACCTTGTCATCGTCTTGAGAGTCGTCCTCGTCCTCATCATAGCGGTACCAGCAGTCTTTTGCTGTGTGGCCTGGCTTACCACATATCTGGCAGCGAGCTGAGTCCGGGCGAGATCGGCCAGAGCCACTGCCGCCGCCACGGCGAGGTTTGTTGGTGAAACGCCCGCTGTTGTTGCTGCTGCCACCAGAGCGCCCTCTGCCGCGGGAAGAGCCATGGGAACGACCGCCACCACGGCCACGGGTTGCCGCGTTTGCAGAAGACTTGAAGGAGTGGCCGCCCGCACCGTGGAACTGCGCCATGCGTTGGTCGAAGTTGCTGAGCATGGCGAAGATCTCATCGAGGGAAGCGGGCGAGACGCTGGCGTCAAGGGCCGAGACCAGGGGCTGGTACTCCAGATCCAGCCCATGGAGGATATACGAGATCAACTCATCCTC